TCAGGCGACATGCTACCTAGCAAAGCATGCTTCCTTTTCACAGCCTTGAACTCAGACCAAACTTATGGTTTCCTGAAAATCGAAGCTTCGAGGTTCTCTCAGTAACTCAAAAACTTGTCGAAGGAAGCACTACGATGGCCAGTTGAAATCTCTTCAAATCCTTGGCTGAGTCAAATTTATTGTACATGAACGAGCAGCCTATCCTGTTGCTTTCTTAACTATGCGGTATTCGTAGATAGCATTTCGATCAAAACAAGTCACGGCGATGCTGCTTCCTCTTCCATTTGTGAATTGTGCGCCCATAATTGCACAGTTTGGAAGCTCATCGGAGAATCGATACTCCACCTGAATGATGCATAAGTGTGTAAGTTGAGAAGGCTCAAAGAATGAAGGACATGGAGATGGAGTAGAGTAGGTTAGGGCAGAGTTGTGCAGAACTGAAGCATCTATGATTCGATTCTGTTCTGGATCTGCTATAAGAGTACGCGGACGAAGTGATGAAGGACTATATTTGTGACAATATGACTTTTTCATAATTTGAAATTAAGGTGAAACAGTGGCTCTTGTGCTCGAAGCTGCCATATTCTAACCTTTCCCTTTGGCAACCGTTGGTGCACATACGGTACTCGCCGTGAATCTTCAAGAAATTCACGCGAAAACCGCGAGTTTGCTATAACTTGGTATGTTGTGGAGTTCTTCCTACTTTGAAGACATCATCGAACTCAGTTCGTCGATTTCTGTAGGCTGATGCTTTGAAGCTTGAAAAAGCCTCATCTTGAAGGCTACACACAGATGATTCTATACGCATCACGTAATAACAAATAATTCCCAGGATGAAACTCGAGTACATGGTGCAATGCAAGGTGAAATTCTTTCAAAATCCAAAGTTCATTCTAATCATTCTTGTGGAATTCTGACAACTAAATTTAGAGGTATTTTAAGATTTGGGAAAACTCCCCAATAAACGGGGTTATGTTAAAGCAAAAAAAAAACAACGCAACATCGCCTTTTCATATGATTTTGAAGTTTTACGGCGAGTGTCGTGTGTAAAAACGGTAACCAAAGGTAATATCATAATTCGGTAATCTATTTCGAAACAGGACGCCGTTTTATATTTTAGGTATGCATTAAAAAACTATAATCATTGATGAAGCGGCCATTCTTCACACAACAATTTGACTTCCTGGATAACTTGTTAAAGCAAGATCCTAGCGTGAGCCGCTGGAAATGTTTGTAGCTTCTAAAAAGGTAACCCCTAAAAGTTTCTGACATTTTTGGTATTTTCGTAAGTGATTCTAATGTCTCCTTGGTTCATTTCATCACCTCTAATATGCAACTGAAGCATTGTGAAAAAGGGGATTTTTCGCGGCATTGTATGGTTACTGGAGTTGAACCATGCATGAAGAGGCACAACGGAAGAAAAGCTGAGGCCTAACTTATAAGCATTCGCACGTACTGATGATGATCCGGTCAGACGATATCGGCAGTGAACCGCGATGCTGAAAGCATCATTATGTTTCACTCCATTGATTTGTTTTTCTTGGATAACTGCAGTT